ATTAATCTACCTCTACCTGGTGACTCAGTGGGAAGCTACTTCCTGCAACTTGTAAACTGCAAAAGACCATTTCAGCAACTTAGCCTAACAGCAAGCCAGAAAGTGGAGGCAGATCTCAGGGTACCTTGGGCCTTTCGCTGACGTACCCCCAATCTCAGTGCTGCTGGAAGCCAGCCTTGCTGCACAGCTTGGGCCCTTCCACACACGCCCAGGCCCAGCAGAGGTGGCTACAAACTGTGGATTGCTTTGGAGTTCCAAACAGGTAGCCCAGGGCTGGTAACAGGCAGCACCTGCACCAAAGTCCCTCCCAAGAGGACCTAGAACCAACACACCTGGTGATGGAACTCAGCCTCAACATCAGAGCACAACCCAATTAGCTTCACAAGCGGCACACCCAAAGGAAGATATTGGCAGGCACCAGAACCTGCTGGGGGGAATTCCAATTCATGAGGTCAGCCCCTGCACAGCAGTTTGTACACTGTGGTCAGGATCCTCATAGTAAGCCTAAGGGTCAACCCCGCCCATGGACGGGCCAATAGCAGCTACAACAGGAGGGTTCACATAATCTCCATTATGGACATTCCTGGAGCACCCAGCTCAGGCAATCAGGGAGACTGTGCCACTGAGCCCCACAGGACACCTATTATGTAAGGCTATCCCTACCAAGAATGGGAGGTCTAGCAGATCTAAATACCTAATATACAGAAACAATTACAAAGAGGCAGCCAAAATGGGGAGACAAAGAAACATGCCCCAAAAGAAAGAACAAGAGAAATCCCCACAAAAAGAACTAAATAAAATTGAGGCAAGCAACCTACCAGATACTGAGTTCAAAACGATGGTCATAAGGATACTTGACAAACTCAGGGGAGGAATGGAAGAACTCAATGAGAATTTAAAGAGACATTAAACATAAAAAAGGGCACAGAAACCATAAAAAAAAAGCCAGAAATGAAGAATACAATAACTAAAGTGAAGCCTACGCTAGAAGGAATCAACAGCAATTAGATGTACCAGAGAATCGAATCAGCAATTTGGAAGACAACATAGCAGAAAACACCCAGAGCAGCAAAAAGACAGAAGAATCCAAAAAATAAAAAATAAATGAGGATAGCTTAAGGGACCTCTGGGACAATATCAAGTGTACTAGCACCCACATCATCAGGGTACCAGATGGAGAAGAGAGAGAAAACAAGGAATTAAGAGCCTACTTGAAGAAATAATGACTGAAATCTTCCTTAACCTGGTGAAGGAAAAAGACACACAAGTTCAGGAATCACAGAGAGTCCCAAACAAGATGAAACAAAAGAGAACCACACCAAGATACATCATAATTAAAATGGCAAAGGTTAAAGACAAAAAATCCTAAAAGCATCAAGAGAAAGACAGCTCCCTAGAAGGGGACTCCCATAAGACTGTCAGCTGATTTCTCAACAGAAACTTTGCAGGCCAGAGGGACTGGTACAAAATATTCAAATTAATAAAAAGTAAGAACCTACAACCAAGATTGCACAGAAAAGCTGTCATCTAGAACTGAAGGACAGAAAAAGCACTTCCCAGATAAGAAAAAGCTAAAGGAGTTCATCACCACCAAACCAGTATTACGGATATGTTAAAAAGTCTTCTTTAGGAAGAAGGGAAAAAAATCCAAAAATATGAATAACAAAATAATAATAAACACATTACCTGTCAACAATTACTGTATTTTTATTTCATAATTTTCTTTTTCAATTATAGTTTATATTCAATATTATTTTGTATTAGTTTCAGGTGTACAGCATAGTGGTTAGGTAACCATATACTTTACAAAGTGTTCCCCACAATATTTCCAGTACCCACCTGGCACAATGCATAATTATTATAATATTATTGACTATATTCCATATGCTGTTTTCTTTATGCCCACACTGTCTAGGATCTTCTTGATATCTTTGGAGCTTGGGAGAGGCATTGCCCAGAGTGCAGCCAGCAAGTAGGAGGCAAAGTAGCACATCTCAGAGGTGGTGGAGAGGCGTTACATGTGCAACGCAAGAGGCAACAGTTTTGGAAAGCTCTTGTCCATTTCTTGAATTCCTACTCATCCTTCAAAGTTCAAGTAGGAAATAATCTCCTCAATGAAGCTTTTCAAAAATCACTGTCTGCACCCCTTGGTCAAAATTCTTCTATCCTTCTATTTGGCCTTTTTCATACTGTACCTTAATTATGTCTCTTTCCCCTATTTTTCTGTGAACTTCTTAAGGGCAAGGTCATCTTTTCATCTTTGTATCTCTAATTCTAGCAACTGGCACACAGAGGTTCTCAATATATGTTGATTGAAATGAGATTATGAGATCTCCATAGCAGAAATGTAGCCAATTTCCCCCAGAATTCAGGTACTTTGTGACATAGTCATACATATGATAAACATTAAGATAGGCTAATGTTTTATTCTTTGTAAATATGTTTGTGATCCTTTTGAATATACCTTTAGAAATATCTGTACCAGTAAATTCTTTATACTTATAAACAAACTAGCCATAAAAGTTATCCCTTAATTTTTCAACTCCTTTCCCACTCTTCTATCCATTTCATCTTGACCCATCAACCCAGCTACCTAATATTTGAGCTCTGAACCCTGGAACTCTACATTATGTTCACATGTCTCAGAGGGAAGGGCTTTCTTATCTTTACACTCCTAGTTACCTACTGCCATGTTGGCAAATTATAAATGTGTGATAAAATCTTGTCTGCTCAACCCAAATGTCAGCTAATGATTGTATAAATAAAATGTGGCATGTAATATATGCTGGCAGGCTATTAGCCAATAAAGAGAAATGAAGTACTGATACATGCTACAACATTAATAAATCTTGAAAATATGTCCAGTGAAAGAAGCCAGCCAGCAAAGACCACATATTGTATGATGCCATTTGTACGTAATGTTCAGAAGAGAAAAATCTATAGCGACCAAAAGTAGATTAATGGTTTCCAGAGGCTGGGGAGGTTGGAAGGAAATGGGGAATGATTGCTAACCAGGATGGGGCTTCTTTTTGGAATGATAAAAGTGTTCTAAAATTACCTGTGGTGATGGTTGCACAACTCTGTGAATATACTAAAAACCATTGAATTGTATAGTTTAAATTGGTGGATTATATGATCTCAATACAGCTGTTATTTTAAAAAATATCATTTGCTTTTGCTACAGAATTGAAAGGGGTTCAGGGACAGAAAGTACAGCCTTATATGACGGAGATGACAATTAAGTTTATTTAACATATACTCCTCATTAGGATCAGTCCAGCCAGTTGGGTGAGTCAATCTTTAACCCCATTCAAAATCGCCACTGTGAGCCAGAGAAGAATGTGGAATAGGTAACAAAAGTCACGAAACTGATTTGTGACGATGCAAAGTAATTTAAAGCATTGAGATTCCTCAGATTATAAGGACCAAAAAATTTAAGTCTTCTCAGAGCCCATTCCACTGAGACAAGACCTTCTTTGCTCTATTCCTGGGTACGTCGTTTGGCCGACAGTACCACCTACTTGGTCATAATCTGTCCCTACTACAAGTGAAATTGTTGAATTGGTGTCTACTACCATCTCCTTAATGTAAACCGTCTAAGAAACATTAAAAAAATTAACAATGTGCTGCTTTGTTGACTGCTGAGTCATTTTCTGAGTTTACTTGCTATAGTATGCAGAATAATGGCTCCCTAAAGATATCTATTTACATCTAAATCTCTAGAACATATGACTATGCTTTGCATGGCAAAAGGAGCTTTGAAGATATAATTAAATCAAAGGATTTTGAGGCAGGGAGATTATCCTGGATTATCCAGATGTGTCCAATGTAATCACGAGGGTCTTTATAAGTGAATAAGGGAGGCAAGAGAGTCAGAATCAGATGTGATGACAGAAGTCACGGTCAAGGTGATGGGATCGCTGGCCGGCACCATGAGCAGAGCAGTGTGGGCAGCCTCTAGAAGCTAGAAAAGGCAAAGACACAGATTTTCCCCTAGAACTTCCAGTCCTGTCGACACTTTGATTTGACCACCCTGAGACTCATTTCAGTCTTCTGACCTCCAGAACTGAAAGACATATCTGTATTGTGTTAGCCCACGAAACTTGTAACTTGTTACAGCAGCAATAGGAAATGAATACACTTGCCCCACAAATATCATCAATACCAGGCCTGGAACATATGCTTCCTATCTGTGAAGTTCAGTTGCTTTTATTGCTCAATATAGAGAATTAGTTTGGAACAACTGTAAACTGTATCAGAGTAGAAATGTTTTTTCATTTGGGCTATGAAATGCCAGAACTAACCAATGAAAACTGCAGTTTGATCACTGGCTAACGGCCAACTTAGGTAAAGAAAATACAGAAACATGCAATTTTGTCATTGGGATTTTGAAACATGGATTTCATAATATTGTATATCAATAATCACTTCAATTATGTGTTCTTTGCTATGTTTCAGGGGCAAGGAAGATATAATAAGGATATAAACCTGAGACAGGATGAGCAGTTTGGAATGAGGTATGTCACTGTAGACTCGGCAATAGTTAGAAATACGAAGATAATGTCCCAGAGATAAAGGAACAAAACGTAAGCAGTAATAGGAAAAAGTTCTCATCTAAGATATAAGCAGTAATAGAGTAGTTAAGCGATATGGAAGAAAAGACAGTAAGACACAGAAAAGTAAACACCATGAGATGATACCAAGATCAGATCACTGCCTAGAACCCCAATTTCTCTATTTCATTAGTCTGAATTCGATCTTTAGCCTAATATACAACACAATCTCCAAATTTTCCTAACATTCTGTTTCCAATTTCAATGTAAAACTGAGTTATAATCTAGTAAGAAAGCGTAAGATTTCCAAAAACTGTGAAAATACTTACTATCCACACTTGCTATTCATTCTCTCCATTATTTAAGAAGACTTGTAATGTTATATCAGTTTTCTACCCTCCCCCTACCAGGTTATATGTACAACACAGAAATCTCTTCCTTACTTACAACTGCACAGCGTGGCATTTTAGAAGGAATCCCATCTTCCTCTGTTGCCCCATTGGGTCCAGGTACCTCTTTCCTCCTCTTCCTTGTGTTGACTTTGGCTGAACTCTGTGCATCCATCTTCTTTTAACCGGTCATACAAAGTGAAAAAGAATTTTTTCTCATTGAAGTAGAAAAAAGTCTGTCACCAGTATTTCAGAGATGTTAACACAGATATACTCAGCAAAAGATCAATTCCATAGCACACAATTCACAAAGAAGAGCCAACTGCATCTGGAAAAAACAAAGCTTCACAAAATACAGGCTCCAGGAGAAACTCTGAAATACCTCTCTGTGGAACAATGGCCACGACTGATCACCTGATCTTGGAAATTATTCCTCCTGACCAATGAAGCCTGCATACTGACTACTAGTTTCATATTCTGATTGCATTCATAAGGTTGGAATAACTTGGCTGAGAAAGTTATACAGACTTTAACAGTACCCCTTATATCATTCCTGGGACATCTGGAGGTATGATCAGTGCAAGGAAATGTAAAAGGTATGTCTTCTGTGCATATGGGAAAAAGAGCCTTTTTAAAAACAATGGCTATCACCATTTCCTAGTTTAACAAAGCAGGGATTTCTTAACTCTAAATGCTCTGTAGATTTCAGAGACCATTCCACCAGGGATCCATAGAAATTGTAGCGTAAATGTACTGTATCTTTTAAATCCCCTTCTTCATCTTTCTTCAACTCAACTCCCCTTATTCTTTCAGAGTCTTAAGCACCTTAACATTTATTTAGAGTCCCCAACTATTAAAACCCCACCCAGGCTTTTCCTTCCCCCAAGAAAACACTTACTTATCACTGTCTCATTTGGCAGAGAGCTTCTATAAACTAGCTACTATATAAAAGGTCTGAATGTTTGATATTTCATGTTTAGATGTTGGCTTGTGCTACCTCTCCAAATCCCCAGTGAGGATATCTGAATTTTTCTTGGGTAACATCATTTACACAAACAACTTAGTTTCTTGGTAGTAAATTTTAGGCAGCAGCCAGAAATTGAGGATAGAGGAATTTTAGTGATCAGCTGCCATCTCTGCCCAAGACATGGTACAGTGAAAGATGGAAAAAAGACCCTCAGAGCAGAAGTAGAAAACAACTGCCACACAGAATGAGGACATCTACTCTGCCTCATTGACTCTAATAAGCCCTTCTCATCTAAACAAAAGCATTCAGCCTTACTCTCTTTCCTCTAGTTAAATTCCAAGTGGCAATGTGACAAGATCTATAAGAAATCTGACCTAATTCTTAGAGAGTGAAAGTGACACCCTAATACCCTAAGTATTAGGCTGACATAAAAAAAAAAAGTGAGTCTAAAGTGAAAGGTGAACACCACCCAGAAACTCTCTTTCATCACAAATGCAAGTTAAGATGGAAGAAGGATATTATTCTCTTACAAGTTTTTCCAGTGATGATGATCAGAGCTTTTCTTCTTCTCCTTCTTTATTACTATTATTATTATTATTATTATTTCAAAATATCCAGATCTGTATTACTATTCCCATCTCACTGTCTGAGAGGCCTGCAAAGAATGCCTAATCAGTCCATTTAGTGAGCATTTCTCACTTGCGTATGACTTCTCTAAGTATCTGCTAAGTTCTTCTCAAGATAAGCAGACAAAATCCATTGGAGAAATGTAATCAGCAATCTGGTGACAGGCAGCTCAAGGTCAGGTAATCAATAGTACTTACTGTGTACAAGGTACTATAACAATTTTTAAAGTAAAAGCTATTTTCTCAAGAAGTCTTCAATCAAGGTGAGGAAACCACATGTTTATGATATTGAAAAAGCTCTTTAGAATTCTAAAACCATTGGGAAAAACGTTTGTTGAAGAACCGGATATTTACACAAATATCTCCCCATAGATTACTTGCTAATAACAAAGGGAAAACGTTACCTTTATAGTGAAAAAATCTCTTAGCTAAGTGATCAAAGTTAATTAACATCACCAATAATGCCTCCTTATGTAAGGCACTGAGGATACATTATCTGCCAAAAATGCATAATCTGTATGGATATATGAGGACAAGCAGACAGACCTTTTTTTTTAAAAAGATTTTATTTATTTATTTTTAGAGAGAAGGGGAGAGGGATTCACACACATCCCCTACTGGGGACCATGTCCTCAACTCAGGGATGTGCCCTGACTGGGAATCGAATCAGTGACCCTTGGGTTCACAGGACGGTGCTTAATCCACTGAGCCACAAAAGCCAAGGCACAGACAGACCTTAATTAAAGGATAGTCTACAAAACAAGCCTGTATTCTTCAAAAAATGTCAATCACGAAAAACAATGAAAGGCTGAGGGGCTGTTACAGGTTAAGAGACCAAAGAAATGAAAACTAAATGTAATTCAAAATTCTAGATGGGGAAGAAATTGTTATAAAGAATAGTTATTAGGACAATCAATAAAATTAGAATATAAACTGTGTATCAGATAATATTAGGCATCAATGTTAAACTTCCCAGATTTGATTTTATAGCATGTTATGTAAAAGACTGTCCTTGTTTTTAAAGATTCTTATTTACTTTTAGAGGGAAGAGAAGAGAGGGTGAAAGATAGGGAGAGAAACATCGATGTCCAAGAGATATATTGATCAGTCTGCTTCACATGCTCCCAGCAGGGGACCTCTCCTGCAACCCAGGCATGTGCCCTGATCAGGAATCAAACCAGTGACCCTTCAGTTCACAGGCCGACACTCAATCCACTGAGCCACACGAGCCTGGGCTGTCCTTGTTTTTAGAAGACAAATGCTAAAGTATCTAGGGATAAAGGATTATAATCTCTGCAATTCATTGTCAAAAAGTAAAAAAAGGAAAACGTGTATGTTATATTACATATAAGATAGATAAAGCAAATATGGTAAATATTATCAATGTATGAATCTAGGTGGGGCATAAAAATTCATTTTGATATCCTTACAACTTTTCTACAGGCTTTACTTTCTTAAAAAATAAAGTTTAATTTTTAAAATGTTCCATAACAATTTCTAAACAGAGAGGCCCTCCATTGTCTTTTGGGTTCTCTAGAAACTGATTCCCTCTCCTTTCTGACTCTTTAATTCAGAATATGATACATATATTCCAAAAAGTATGTCCAGTAATCTAAATGTCTTGCAAGGAAGTAAGTTAACAACAACAGTCATAATAATGGCTCTCTTTTTGACTAGTTCCTATGTTTCAGGTGCTGTACTAGGCAATTAATACACATATACAGGTATTATTAGCCTCCATTTATAAATGAGAAAACTAAGGATCAGGGAAGTTAAGCAACCTATCTAAGAGATCACACAGCTAGTAAGTAAAAGAACCAGGATTTAAATTCAGGCTTGCCTAATTCCTAAGTCCTTACCAATATATTCTGCTATCTTCCAGAAAGATAAGATTTTTAAAAAGAAGCTTTCTCATCATTACTGTTGTTTCCTTATAATGTAGAGAGAACATTCTCTACATGATATTCAAATAGTTCTCTAATTATTCAAATAGTTATTGAGGGCTTACTCTTTTCCAGGGATCATTGCTACATATTGGGAACATTAATTATGATTTTTGTGTTCCAAGTGATAAGAAACTCAACTGAATTAAGCATTAAGGGGTGTGTATTTGGATGGCACAATTAGTTCAGGGTCTGACTTCTCTCATCAGCTTTGCTTTCTCTGTTGACTATTTTGAAAAAGTCTCCCCTCCTGGTCATAGATTGGCCACTTGATGGTCATGGGATTGTTCCTAGAGCCATGTCTTCAGGTTCAGATCTACAAAGAAAGACGTGATCATCTTTGTCTAAGCATTTCCATCTGGTGAGTCCAGAGATTCACTCTGATTGGACTAAGTCACATCACCTATCACTGTCTTACCCTCCCCTTTCTTCCCCGACCTCCTTCCTACTCTGGCCCAAACCCAAACAAGCCCCTGGAGTTCCTGAGTAGTTTGCCAGCCCAGTAGGAAGGGAGCCTTAGTCTTTATGAAAAATGAAATTAAATTCCTGCTTGGCACAGTGTAGCACATGACCAGAGTTCAAGAAGTGATTCTGATTAAATTCATTTATGGCCATTTTATTAGTAGGCAGAGTAATGTTGTCATTAAACATACAGACCCTAGAGCCAGAATGTCTGGATTTATATCTTGCTTTTGCCCTGTCCTAGGTGGGTGACCTTAGTCAAGTCATTTAACCTAGCTGCGCCTCAATTTCCTCATCAGCAAAAAAAGGGATAATAGTATTAATTACCTCATCTAATTGTTGAGAGGATTCAGTTATTTAATATATGCTCAAGGTTTATAACATCCTGGCATATAGGAGGTACTCTAAGTATTAGCTCTAATTACTATCATTGCTTATCATAATCTTTGGGACTGTGATAGAGAAATGTGGGTCTTGTGATAGTACAGTGGAATGGGTTTACATTGGATTGAATACCCTAACTCATTAAGAATTCAAAATATATTCTCTATTCTGTTTTCCAAAGATAACTTTATTGTGTTTTACATTGTGCTCACCTAAAGAGTGTTAGGGATGGATCTCAATGAGGGAAGAGGGTTTTAGTGGAATGTCACATTGGCATGTGGTGACATATATTTATCCTAATTAGTATTTTTACTATTGAGTTGGATGGAAACATAGAAACTATGCTTTTCAAGTTTATAGATTACATATAATTGTGATAAATAGTTAATATGATAGATAATGGTCAAGATTTGAAATTTTTAAGAAACAAATTGGTACAAATAAAAAGATCAACTAAGTTAGACTTTATCAGGATTATGACCAACAAAATGAATAAATGTATTTCTATACAATCTCTGCTTGAATGTCCTGGTGTGCCAGAATGAAATGTCTCCTGAGATTACCCAGTCCTTTTCAGATAACGCTTGTTTCTGAAAAGGTTTTTATTGTTTATAGTTAAAATTTGTGTCTCTATGTTTCCCAACCACTGATCCATGTTCTATTGTCTGGACTTTCACAGAGTAGTGTTTCCCTATTTAACATGACAGGCATTCAAATATTTAGAGACAATTATCAGGTATCTTCTTGTATTATATCATATATAATACTGTAGTAGTAAAGGGTATGTAGTCTGCAG